CAGCACGAAGCCCAGCTGCTCTGCAAAGAGTTAGTCCCAGTGGTTTTCTGGGCCATGTTCCCTGTTGTGGCAGAGCCAGGCTGCAATTGCCTTGCAGGTATTTCAGGCACAGGGCTGACATGCAATAGGTCTAAGAGCAAAACAAAAGTGTATCTCATCATTCAGAGATTATCAAGGGCTGCTCCACACTAGAAATCTATGAAATGTAGGTGTGGTGCTTAGGGACATGGTTTAGCAATGGAATTGGCAGTGTTAGGTCAGTGGTTGGGCTCGGTGATCTTTCCAACCTAAATGATTCACTGATTCTAGAAGCTTTTGTTTTTGCAGACCTGATTTTCAAAAGCACCAGGCACAAGCCTGCTCTCATGCTGCTGTCTCAGTCTCCATTTGGAGCCTTCAACAGCCCAAGATAACCTTTTCAGATGGCTTACATGGGAAATTGTGCCAAATAAACTGAGAAAAAATAAGCATCCAAGGGCTCTCCTGGCTAAACCCATCACTGCCAGAGGAGCCAGTCCTGCCTCTTGTTGAGGAGAGCATTTTTACCATGTGGCTTCAAAGATTTACAGGTCACCAGGGTCACCCCACTCACTTTGCTGCAGGGTCCCAGCCTGGCATCACCCCATCTGCACAGCAGTGAGGCCAACTTAGGATTCAAGAGAGGAGCCTCCCACTCTGTTTTTAAAAGCAGAGCTGATATTAAAGGAAATTATCATACATAATATTTCAGCATTTAACTCTTCAAAGAATCAAGCTCTTCCCATAAGGTCATTTCTTTGCATAGAGCAGAAGAAGAGCATGCCAGGTAGGACACAGAAGTATCTGAAGAAGCTGCTGGGAGTGAAATTAGTGCTCTGCAAGCATGGCAGCTGTCATTATGCTGCAGGTTTTGGAAACTGGGGATAGGGAGACTGAAGAAGGACCACAAGGATGACTGGGGGTCTGGAGCATCTCCTTTATGAGGAGAGATTGCAGGAGCTGGGCCTGGTTAGTCTGGAGAAGAGCAGACTGAGAGGGGATCCCATCAATGCAGATCAGTACCTCAAAGGCAGATGCCAGGAGGATGGTGTCAGACTCTTCAGTGGTGCCCAGTGACAGGATGAGGAGCAGTGGCCATAAGCTGAACCACAAGAAGTTTCACCTCAACACAGAATCATAGACTCATAGAATATGAGGAAGAGCTTCCTCCTGTTGGGGGTGGCAGAGCACTGGAGCAGGGTGCCCAGGAGGGCTGTTGGGTCTCCCTCTCTGGAGACGTTCAAACCTGCCTGGACATGTTCCTGTGTGACCTGCTCAAGGTGTCCCTGCCTTGGCAGGGGGTTGGACTGGATGATCTCCAGAGGTCACTTCCAACCCCAACGATTCTGTTATTCTGTGATTCTGCAACTTTGCTTTCATTCCAAGCAGGAAATTTAACTCCAGGCTGGATCAGATCAGGTCCACTTTCCCTTCCAGATACCTCCTGGGACAACATCCTCCAACTCCAGGAGATATTTCTGGTGGAGACAGTTACTGAGGCCCACAGAAACTGCAGTGGACAGTTCCTGGTGCTCTCCATAGAACCAAACATACCTGTACCAGTACGGGTTTTCATTCAGGACACTCACTGCATCACCTGGGGCATTTGAGTGTCAGCATTAGGCACACTTTGTTTCTTTATCACTGCTTACAACGTATTGCAGGAGCACTGCTTCAGAAGTAGCATCATTGATTTCTTCTAATTGTAAATCCTATAGAAAGTTTTAAGCTTGCAACTGTCCCAGTTTTGCTCTCGATGGAGCCAATAAATGTGAAGAGTTGCTCCCAGGTTACTGTCATCACAGCAATAAAAAGCCAATGTAATTGAAAAGTGAATCAGGGAAACTGTCAGACTGGGGAGCAATGATAATAGCAGAAACTACCTGAGGGCCCAAGCCCAAAGCAAAGTCTTGTCACTGGCTGCACAGAGCTGGAGCCCATTCTGAACACACTCCTGTGCTGGTACATATCTAACAGAGGACATGAACCCTGTGTGAAAATACTAGAGCATAGAGCAAAGCAGGAGCAATGACCATGTGCTTGTCAACAGGCCAAGCACTTAGTGGATGAGCCAGCAAAGGTGATTTTGAGCCTCATCTGAGATGGTTCCTCTTCCTAAAAGGCAAAATTACAATGGAACTATAATCCAGTAATTTCTCCCTATATTAGCATAAAGCTTAAAAGCAAAAGTTGGAGATGCAGCAGCAAATGCATATTTGTCAAGAGAACAATTATTTCCCACTAGGTAGATTAACTGGTGCAGGAAAACCCAAACCCCCACAAGTCATTACTGTTCCCACATTGTTAAGATCAGACAATAAGCATGGTTGTGTTTGTAATCCGGATAGCTTGAAGCAAAGCAACAAGCAGCATCACAGAAGACTCTGAAAAAGCCTCTTAGTGTCAATGCTGGTATAGAGGGAGACTAGAAAAGACTTCTGAGAGGGAGAGGAAAGTAGCAGCATATGTCAGCATTGGCAGTGGTATGTACCGAGGTGAGTTTTCACACCTGTAGCTCTGGAGGCTGGCACAAAGGAGGAGGAAGCTGATTTGGAGATGTTGTTCTTCCAACACAGTCATCTAGGGACATGGGGAGGCAGATACTGAAGAAGTCAACTGTCTTTTACTCTACATAAGGACAGGATGCATACAGCATATCGGAGGTCTCTTGTCCTCAGATCACTGCCCATGTAAAGTCTGTGAGCACTTCTAATTAAGTCAAGGAGGCCCACACATCCCTGCAGCTATCCTCTAAAAGGAGTGCAAGTAAAGAGCAGGTCTAGGGGACAGTGCTCTGGGCTGTGAAGCATTCACGGGGTGAACATCCACCTGGTGATGGGTGAACACAGGTTTTGAACAGCTTCTAGAAGGACTGTTCCCTGAAAGGGGAGAAAGCAAACTCATAAACTACAGCAATAAAAGTTTGTATTGGCCTCAGAGAACTGCCCCTGAGCCAAGAACAAGAAGTAAACCCCAATGCAGGTTGAACGTCACACACTGATGAGATTGGGGTGGGGTAACTACATGCAGACAGGCTGCTTCTGTTGCTATGATGTAACCTCTAGGATGAAATTATGGGTTTGGCATATGGATGGAGTCAGGAAGATGCTGGGGCTCAAGTTCAGGTTTGAGTTTCTCCAAGGCAAAGACACCAACAAAGTGCAGGATAGGTGGTTGATGAGGCACCATTGCTTTTACCTCCATAAAAGTGCCAGTGTGCAATCAATACTGCAGGAAGCAGACCTGGAAGGATGTAAACCCTGGGCAGCCTCAAGGCACTTTGCAAACCTCCACTAACAACGCCTTCCAACACCACTGTGAGGCAACTATATGCATTAACTCCCATTTCCACACCTCTAGCTGCCAAGAGAAATGCTTTACATAATGATACAGGTTGAGAAGTACACAGCTGCTTGATTTTTACTTGCTCTTTTAGCATTAAAGCAAGCAGAATACAGGTGCTGAGATTTCCTCATGCACAACAAAGCAGGCTGGAAATCTGTGACTAAATACCAGGGATTTGCAATCCAGCTTTGAACTGTGCAACAAGGAGCCACTGGTGACAATTGTGCGCTCGCTATTTTTAGCTGGGCAGTGTGAACACTGAACCCCTGAGGAACAGGGACAGGAGCAAAACCATCAAACCCACCAGGCTTGCTTTTCAGAGAACTCATTTGGGGCAAAGAGAGGAATTGTGTCTTTTGCCCCTGCCATCCACTTTTCCACGCATTTTCTGCACCAGGTTTTTGAATGTTGGAGATGATAAACAAATAGAACCATAGAAATCAGTGCTACAAATGGAACAATATAAATGTGCAAGTCTGCCTGTGCACACACATACACATAAATATTTTAGGGTCCAGATTTAATCAAGGTGCACTTAGTTTTCCTAGGTAACCACTTTGAGGATTAATGTTTTTGCCTCTATGCAATGTGCAGCAGTGGTGAGGGAAGACACTCTTAGATTACACGCCAGGCATCTCAGAACTGATAAGGTCTGTCCTGTCCTCATCAGGCTGGAGGGGAAAGGAGTGGGAACTTCTTGCTGCACTATTTCCAGAATGCTGGCTGTGCAATCTGACCTTATGCTCTTGGCTGCAGAAGTGGGCACAAGCTTGTGTCACCTTTCCTTCACGGCAGCATTAAGCCAGAGGTGTTTGGCCTTTTGGGGTTTCTTGAAGGGCGTACAGGTCCTGATGCTCACTGTTTGCTGCAGGCAAGCCTGTGGTTTGGGAGAGTTTAAGGTGCTGTTTAGAGGAGGATCATCTGCTGCACAGTGGGTGACTTGAAGCGTTACCACCCTTCTTTACTGACTGCACTGGAGGCTCAGGGAGACTCATATCCTCACCTGGTGCTGCAAGTCAGCCAATGTCTTCTCTTCCGTACCTTGGCAGATATTAATACCACAACCGTTACACATGTGTAAAGTTCCTCTGCTGCAAAAACGCTCATTTCTATCTATTCTACAGAAACCACCTGGTTTAAATATCTGGTGTGTGTAAGAATAACATTTATCTACATGATCTGCAGCTAAGACGGAAATGTTTTCTGCTTGTGCTTACCACAGAGGCCCAATTGGAGAGTTAGAAGGTAAAAAAAGGGGCAGAGACAAGGTTGTGTCTCATGGCAAGGTGTAAGAGCTATTAGGGGAATGTCTCAGGGTTTTATCTCTGTTGGGATGGTCAGGACTGATACCAGATTGCTGCACCTCCACCCTGGAAAACCAGTCCTGGCATAGGGCTCTGTTTCTCTTCTGCTCTACCAACATGAAGTAAGCTGGCAAGAGCTGTGGCAACATCCATTTCCAACATTCACACTGTTAGTGTTAAATGAACCCAAAAGAGCAAAATTTGCAAAGTTATATTGAGGTGTTGAAATGAGGTTGGAAAAAACCTATGAGAGGGAGCTGCAACAAGCCCACATGCCTCTTCCTCCAAGTACCAGCCCTGCAGTGGCTGAGTCTAACTCTGTTCTTCCCACAGTTTGACATGCAGAGGATAACACTGGAAGAGCTGAAACACATCCTCTACCACGCCTTCCGGGACCACTTAACGATGAAGGACATTGAGAACATCATTATCAATGAAGAGGAGAGTTTAAATGAAAACTCTGGCAACTGTCAAACAGAGTTTGAAGGTGAGAAGGAAAGTTTCTGTGTTTCTGTACAATTCTCTTTCTGCTTCACCTGTAAAGCTCACTCAGATCTGTGACATGCAATGGGCAAGGATGCATGGAGTTAGCATGGAGTTACTTTAGAGTAAGTAGCAATGACACAGAACTCAAGAGTTGCCATTAGCCTTCTTCCATGTGGTCTAAATAAACCTGATCCTGTTTCAGGCAGGAGGATGAACTAGTGGGTGCCTTATGGCTCCCTCTGATGGGATTCAGGCAGAAGGATGTGCAGCCCATGCTGAGCTGAGTATCTAAGATAGACTGAATTTCCCTACAGAAATACACATATCTCATCCCATCATTGGAAGACCTTATTGGCACTGGGTCCTGCCCTAGCAAGCTGAGTTAGGCTCCACCAGTTTTCTGTTGTCTTCCCATAAACAGAAAGGTCTGCTCTGGGGTCCCAGGGAATATGCAATATTCAGGCTACATATATATGCAATATATGCAGGCTACACAGGTACACCCCAGGACAGCTCATCTCAACCCATCTGAGAGTGTCTGCAAGATCAAGGTCTAAGCAATCCTCAGGAGTAGCTAGAGAAAGGAAGATGTTTGCTTTGACTGCTGTAGCTTTACACAGCATCCTCTCAGCACTGCAACAAGACCACCAAGTAATCAGCAACTGTGATCAAACAGAGCCTCAACTTTTACAGTGGGTTTTGCACTCTGAATGGAGTCAACACTGGCAAGTACCTCTCCTATTTTCAGCCACTTCAGAAGAAGCATTTACTTGGCCAGAGGAATTTGTGCTGCTCCAAATACTTGCTGGTTTGATCAACTAAACATACAAAATCATCTAAATCAGCAAACATACTAAATCATCTCAAGTTGCCCCTTCCAACCCAAACCATTCTATGATTGGGTTGGAGAACTTGATGTGGAAAAAAATGTAAAGGATTTGGCTTTATTGAGCCTCAAGAAGGGAAGTCTCAGGAAGATCAGGGGTGCATGTCCCATCCTTACCAGTGTTCAAAGCCAGGTTGGAAGGGGCTTGGAGCAACCTGCTCTAGTGGAAAGTGTCCCTGCCCATGGCAGGGGGTTGGAACTGGATGAGCTTTAAGGTCTCTTCTAACCCAAACCAGGCTGGGATTCTGTGGAAAGTCCAAGGAGATCCTTAACAGAGAACTTCAGGGTTTCTGCACATTGCCCTGGGACAGCTTCTGTGCTTTCCCACCCACAGCAATGCCACTTTGCATAGGCCATTTCAGGAGAAATGCTGATACTCTGAGGGATCAAACAGCCTCTGAAAGGGCAGAAGGCAGAGACACTGAAGCGTTGTTCAAACAAAGGATAAACAGTGCAATTCTTAGCTTGGCTGATCAATGGGATTCAGCAGCTCTAGCCAGTACACTCACCCTCTGCTAAATACTGCAGAAAAGAGGTAGAAGAGCAGAGCTGAATGTTAAAAAGCCTGCAGGAGGGAAGCAAGAAGCATTGCTCTTCAAATCCAGCCAAGCAGCACTGGGTTTTTGCTCCTCCTGGAGAGCAGCAGGGAGGAAGAGAGGCTTTACTTACATAAATGGAGTTGCTAGTCCTCACTGACCTCCTGATTCAGAGGAGGCATGAGCCAGCTGTCACCACAGCAAGAGACATGCAGGCTTCTTTCAGCTTCACTACTTGGGTGAACTATTATTCCAGTCACAAAAGAAAAAATGGGTCCAAAACCCTAAATGCTCAGAATCTCATTCTGGAAGTCCCAGCTTCCAAAAGTACAGCAAGAACAGCTTTTCTCGTGGGATGTTGGCATTGCTGGTGCTAGGCAGAACCTAGAAGCAAAACAGACCCTTTTTTTAGATGTTAGAAATACACACACACACACGCACAAATCCACCAGAGAATAAAGATCAGCTGAACACTGCCAACAAAGATGCAAAGTTTTGCTTCAGATTCCAGAAGAAGGGGGACAGTTCTGGTCCATGGCAGCTCTGACATGAGCATTTCTCCCAGGAAAGGCAGGCTGAGAGCAGGTTCTGTCCCTGCAGGTCTCCAGGCTGGACATGCCATTACCTGAATGACATACTTGTGCCTTGAGCGCTCCCGTTTCCCAAGCACTAAGATCCCCATAGGGCTCAAAAGCAGAAATTATAGGGCCTCATGGCATAAATCAATGGTACCAAGGGAGAGCTGTCATGAAGGATGAACAGCATCTCAGTCTAGCTTTAAATGGCTGTATAGAACTGTCTCCATGTAAGGCAGTCACCTTTTACTCACTTCTTAATTAGTGGAGTGAAAAAGATGCTTTTTGGGTATAATTCCTCAAGCTTATTTTAGGTGTTACCTTGGGGTAAGATGAATTGCACCTTAAAGAGCACCTATTTCTTTCAATTCTAAAGGTAGCCTAAAGGGACCAGTTTAAAGGCTCACATCTATATTTAATCTACATTTCACACATCTCACTGAAACACCTTTAACTATGGGTAGGAATGAAGCCAGGATGAGCCCCGATGGTTTTCACTGAGATTTGGGAATGACTCCTAAGTGAAGAGACTGAGCAGTAGTACCGTGCTGAAATGGGGGATCTCCACTCACTGTCACCTCTGGGTATGTTCTTGCCATCAAAGAGAAGCCCCCAAACCCTTCTCTGTCCTGTGGACAGAGATATTCCTCCCTCCTCCACAACTGGGGTTAAGCTGGCTCAGCCCTGCATGAGCAGATTGCTGTAATTCTCACAAATTTGCCATTTTGGCTTCTTGTCATAAGGTCTTTACAACTATATAATGTCACTCCTTTATCAGCATGGATGATATAACCTTACATCTCTCTCCCACACTCATACATACACAACCACACACACACTTTAACCAAAATACAGTATTTATATTATGGTCAGGGGCAAGGGCAGGATTTTGTTCACTTCATTCTAAACATTAGAGTCATTTTCAAGACATCAAGTCTAGGCTTAAATTACAACCTTTCCTCCTATAGATCATAGAATCATAGAATGGTTTGGGTTGGAAAGGGCAGGAGAATGAAGTTGAGAGCCAAGAAGAGTGTATGTTTTTATAAGAAGAGACACAAGAAAAGGACATGGGTTTGCAGCGACCTTGTACAACCAGAAATCCTAGTACAAAAATAATCTGCCTGGCAGTTCCCTTTATCCAAACACTCATGACATCAAGCTGGTGGCAATCAGGAGTGCCGGCTGGTTACAGTGACCCATGCTGTCTGCCATGGGTATTTCATCCTTAGCCCTGACACTCAGATTAACTGGATGTACAAGAGCTGCTGGCACAGCTCCCCTCCCTGCTCCTCACAAACAAGCACTGGGAGCATCCACTTCTCAGCTAAAGGCTTGGGAATGAAAAACTGCCCTCTTAAAATGAAAATAACTCCCAACAGCCAGAGAGAGCAAATATCACTCACCTTTGGCAGGGTTATGACAGAAGCCACTATAAATACACTGTAGCTGCTCATGTTAGCAAGCCTTTTTCTGCAGGTAAGAAAGCTCTTGGTGCTTACCCTTGACCATCTCAAACCCATCATGGGCATCGTGACCAGCACAGCAGCCACAGTCAGTGGACTGGTGCGCCCTGAAATGGAATGGACCCTTTAACCTCATGTCCTGGTGAAGAAGTTATAGTGAAGTTGTAGTGACAGGACAAGGGGTAATGGGTTAAAACTTAAACAGGGGAAGTTTAGGTTGGATATAAGGAGGAAATTCTTTCCTGTAAGGGTGGTGAGGCACTGGAATGGGTTGCCCAGGGAGGTTGTGAACGCTCCATCCCTGGCGGTGTTCAAGGCCAGGTTGGACGAAGCCTTGCGTGGCATGGTTTAGTGGGAGGTGTCCCTGCCCATGGCAGGGGGGTTAGAACGTGATGATCTTAAGGTCCTTTCCAGCCCAATGATTCTATGATTCTAAGTTAAAGTGATGGTAGCTCTGCCACTAGTGACACCATGGTGACCTCCTCGCCAGCCTGTCCCTTGCATTTTGAGAAGATGAAGGATGTCCCAGCCTCAATTTGCCTTTGCTTCTTGAGATCTCATTTACATGAGTCTGTGAGGTGCTCTCCCTGCTAAGAAGGGGCCAGGACATCTCCAGAGGAGCTTCAGGCTCTGACCATATTTAAGGGACCAGCTCATGTTCAAACCCCGCCGTGTCCCATGGGTATTAAAAACTCCTGCTGGCAACCAAATGCAAAAGAGATTGAGCATCCAGGAGTGCCAGCTATGGAAATGAGCTGGGAAAAGCACAAAGGATCTGTGAATGTGGAGAAAGGAGAGAAGTGAGGGCAAAATCTCACCAGTTAGCAGGAAGGGCAAGTGGTTCTTCATATTTAAGAGGACAATTCACAAAGCAGCATGTACTTGTGTTCACAGTAAAGAAAGTCAGTAATTTCAGCTTCTTTGTCTCCCTATGGATTGCTAGAAGGCAGAGGAACTGTAATACTCATCATCTTCCTGGAGTAATTCCTACTGAGCCCCAGCCAGCAACAACCAGTCTCTCTGGGTTTGCAACACCTCTACATTTCAGCACAGACCCTTCCCCTTTCCTCTGGAGTTATTTGGTAGGTTATTTGACTATTTGGTGTACCTTCAGTCAGTAAAGAACAATAATGATGATTTACCTGGATCCTGCTGCCTTAAAGCTCTATTTTTACTTGATGCTATAACAACAGCCTGAAGAAATTGTTGAAGTAGGGAATGCTTCTGCAAGAAGCACTGAACATGCTTTACTCTTTCCCTTTGGAGAGTTGCCATCACAAAAAGCCTTGGCCACTCTTTAACTGCTGCTCTCAGTCACCATGATCAGCACCAGAGCCCCATACTGAATGTCAGTGCTGACTGTGATGGCTTGTGTCACTGTTTCTTTCTGCTGGCTGGGAGTGATTTCAAGGTACAGAAATAATAATAGAAAAGTAAAGAAAGAAATAACTAAAGCTGTGATTTAACAAGCTTTTCAACATGCCGGAGCATCCCGCACAAAGCCAAGGAACCACAGTATGGATTCTGAGCGCATTATGAAAGCAAGCAAAGGAATCAAGGAATAGAGCAAGGCAAGCAGAAAGCAAGTAATTTAAGAGAGCTGCTGTAAGAGGGATTTCATTGTCTGCACAGAATACAGCAAGTCTCATGGAGCACTGGTAGTGCCTTGGGCAGCTTGACTCAAAGTGCTGCCTAACAAGGGATTCTTGTGCCTCTGGTGCTGAGCTGATGCTGGGAACCACATGGGAGCCGGGATTTGGACATAGGCACTGCTAAATCCTGGCCAGAGGAGGTGGTGGGGGATGAAGCAAGCGTTCAAACCGCAGCATCCAGTGCTCTCTGCTCTCTGCGCAACGAGGTTTAAGCCTGGATCAGGAAAAAGTTTTCTTTCCCATATATTCTAAAAGCATTCTCCTATACTTTTCTAAACACGGGCCCTGGAGGCGTATCACAATTCTGAGCTTGTTGCCAGTCACCTGAAAGTCTCCCACCGTCACAAGTACATACGTAAGAAGAACACAACGGGTACACATCCCTTTGCAGGCACAAACACGACCATGTGTTACTGCCCGTAGTGGCAGTGCATCACTATCCATCCCATATATGAGGATCCTCTGTGATTATCTCCGGGACCTGCAAAGTGTTTTCAAACAGATTAATATTCACATTACTCCCATACCACATATTGTTCTGATATTCATAGGTAGGGAGGCTAACACAGAGCTCAGAACTGGCTTTAGCGAGTCACAGCATGAATCCTTCAAATGCTAAAAATCCCAACTGTCTCATTTTAACTGCTGCGAATTATGCTCACCTCTTTTGGCAATTATTCTGCAAGTATTCATCTGAAAAGATTATTAATAAGTCTGAATTTGCTTAGGCACAGAAAACAGGAAGACAGTTGGGAAAAATGACTAACATACTGTGCATACTCACACTGTCTTTTATAAGTATTGCTGGGGAGCAAATCTTGAATCTCTGCTCATTCCCAGTTGCCCTGGATGAGACTAAGGGATTCACAGCAGACCAATGTTTCACATTAAAGAACTCTAGCGAAAACTTCATAAAGAGCTTTAAAAGAAATACACAGAGAAACCAAGACACGCCTAGAAGAAATTCAGACCCAGCTGAGAGAGAAAGGACTTCCTGCAGTATGAGAGGGTGGTCTATTAGGGAAGTTGGTTTGGAAGTAATGAAAGGTAACGTGGTTTATTTGGAAATGCCCCAGGAGGGAGAGGTAAGACTTGGCTGGTGCAGGGGACCTCTGGGGTGTGGACTAGAGGGTTCTGCCAAGGTAATAATCAGAGGCAAAGGAGGATTTCTGTGCTCAGCTGATCCTGGTGGAAAGCAAAACCATTACCTTGGCCCAAAAGCTCATCTTTCCCATGTCTTCTCTTGCAGTGCACGCCCAGAAGCAGAACAGACAGACCTGTGTACGGAAGAGCCTTATCTGCGCGTTTGCCATGGCCTTTATTATAAGCGTGATGCTGATCGCGGCCAACCAGATCCTGCGGAGCGGCATGGAGTAGCCTCTCACCATGACACTGTGAACCAAACTGACCATGCATGCGCATGCCACCGGGTGAGCTCCCCCTGAACCGACTCTCACACGGCAAAGAGACAGAGGCAGGCAGATAAAGCACCATTCGACAAGGAGCCTGAGGCCAGCAGCGTAATGTGTCTTGTGAATCAACTACATTCTTTTGGCAGGGACATAAAAGGGCTGTCTTAATGCTTTAAAGGTTTTGTTTCCTAATGCAATAAAAAAAAATAATATACAGGAGTCCCAACTTATTGCTTCAAAACAGCAATGGTAACTTGGAAGAGACTTACATCCAGCAGCCTGTGTGGCAGTTTTAAGGAGGCACAGCCTCATGACTTATTGCAGCAGGGCTGTCTTTTAACCTAGGGGCCGACTGACTATTCCACGTAGCTCTCCGCTGGGCCCACATTCCCAGGAAGTTGATCGTAGCATTGCCACAAGCAAGTTCTGTTTGTTTCGTTCCATGTACGCCAGCTTCACCTTGTTTTTCCCTTATGACCATGCCTTTGAGTTCATGGCATTAGAGGGGAGCTAGAGCATCCTTGTACAGTATTTTCAGAGTAAAAAGAAGAGGAGAATTTGCCAGCATCATACAAAATCTCTATTTTTGCTTCATAAACGCCACCTTTGACACAAGACTGTGGGGGAGCACAAGTCCCCTTGCCATTTTACTCCAACCGTGAATCAGGGCTTAAGAAGCATCACCCGTTTTCACACATCTCTGAGATTTGTGCAAAGTCTTCCAACCGACTCTGCAACCACCAGCACCAGTTAAAACTCCCTCTATTTGGTCCTGTCTACACATTCAGCATTTGCTTTCCAGAAGTTTTGCCTTTCTTCTATACTGGTCTTCAACAACCTCACCTGAGATTGGAATCACGAGGAAAGCTCAGAAAGAGCTTTCCTCCCTTCTTTTCCCCTGTGCAATTTCTTTGTTTTATTTCCTATGTCCTGGTTGTACTCTGCAGTGAAACCTCCATGTCAGACACCTTCTCATGGAGAGTTCATATTTTCACCTACATGGTATTGTGTGATTTTGACCAGCTCGCTGCTCCAGTCCCTCCCAGGAGCCATCTCACCACCACCATCCCATGAACAAGTTCCAAAGCTGAAAAGCAGACCGCAGCAAGAGGAGAAGGAATCAAACTAGAGCCTACCACCATGTGTTACATACTGTGTCAGACTTCCAGATCCTGCAAGTGTTAATTTTCCTGGATGAGATTATAATGAGCAGCAAGGAGAAGATGGAGTCATGAAGACTAGAGATAACACGTCCCATGGAAAGCAGAAGCACTGGGCGAGCCTGAAGCCAGGATTACAGCAGAAAGCACTTTTCCCTTTAAACTTGTCACAAACCCTTGCATTTACCTTCGGATGAACTGCACACCTGTGTGTCACCCCAGGAAAGATCTGATTTCCTTGTCCTCATGGGAGAGGTTTCCCAGCCAGCTGGCATGGGAAGTGCTCATGGGGCAGTCCACGGGGGCACCTGGGCACTGGAGTTGTGATGGCTTCATGGTGCTGGCTGGGTGAGCTCCCAGAACCCTGAGGAACAGCAAGATCTTGCTCCTGTAAATGTAGGTGACTGTTTCCTGTGTCACAAGAGGGGCAGGATGGCTCCCCAGGGGACTGCAAACCACCAGCTTCCCTCGTACTACACAGCAGCCTTTGACTTAAGCCTGGATCCATCCCAAAGACTCGTTTCAGGTCTTTCTTTGATTGCAAGTTCGATTGGTAACATTTAACCTGTACTTTTTACTAGTCTAATTTAAAAATCTGCTCCTCATTGTTCTGTCTCCCATCACCCCCTTAAAACTCATGTCACCCACTTTGGATTTCGCATTTAGGTGTGTGTTTCAATTGCCCACCTCCACGTGGTTGCCATTTTCCTAGTGCCTCCCCTCATATCACCAAAGATGACATCTGCCTTTTCCAAAGCAGTTATTTTTCCCTGCCTTTCACAAACACAAACTTCTGTATTTCTTTTCTGCTGTGACTAAGGGAGGTCAGCTGCAAAATATTCCACAAAAAATGGCTGCATCTCCCAAAAGATGGAGATGATACTTATGATTGCTATAGGGCAGCAGCAGACTCCAAAACAGTGGAAAAATCACAGGCAAGCTCTGAGGGTGGGATGTGCATTGCTGGGGATTCAAGGCACAATCCCAGCACTCACTGCACTGGACTCTGCAGGTAATGAGCTTTGAGAACATTTTTAGGTTCCAGGGGCATGTGGAAAGGTGGCACAGTGGAAAAAGTCTAAATGTTCCTTGCCACTGAGCAATACTTATGTTTTCTTTGGGACTGTGCTGGAGTGAACACAGGCTGCAGATGGAGGTGGAGCAGAGAGGTGTGCACAAACAAACAGCCCTACTCAGTGACAGCAGAAACACAGGGCAGAGTGGTGCCTCTCCACTGAGCCCAGAAACAGGCTAAAACATACAGACCAGGCATCTCTCTATGTTTTTATCACTCATCTGACAGCTAACACCAGGCAGACTCCCAGTTGTGAGAGCTACCTTATGGAGGAGATGAGGGTTTGCATTTCTTTGAGCTTTCTGGATGGTTCCATAATTTCTACATGCATGCTCCACCAAAATCATTGTAAATACAGTCATTTTTCAGCGTAATTCTTCACCTTGAAGCTTCATTTGTAAAACCAAATCTATAATTAATATATTGGTAAAAGCCATAGCCTGGTATCAGTAGAGTTCATTGCAAAACTCCCCACTGATTTTACTGGGTACAGGATTTGAGGGGGGGGGGGGGTGTTGGGGTTTGCTTTTTCTGTAGGGAACCCAACTTATCCATTATGAATCAGTGCCGTGTCTTGCCAGAGGTCTCCTTTTCCTTCCTAGAGCAGCCTTTCTCCACCTAAAGGGGTCTTGAAGAGAACTCTTCTTTAATCTGTCAGGATCTTCTGGTAGCTGGCGGCAATGCAGGATGGATCAGGCCGAGCCATTTCATCCTTTCCTCTCACTACAACATTTCTCCCAACACCTTTCTATCCTTCCTAGCCAGCAGCACTGGACCTGCATCTCTAACCTACCTCCCTACCTCCATTTATGTAACATCCATTTATCTTCTTTTTTTCCCTCTCTACACAAGAAGGCAAAAAAAGGGCTTTTTGTTGCTTTTACAGACAGTAAGTAAAAATAGAGCAGGAAAATTTTGATTGGAACCTGAAGCTTAGGGGGAAGAAGGTGAAGAATCAAAGAAATGAAAAAAAAAAAAACCACATCCACCCTTCAAAAAAACCCCAAAACTATTTAAGTGCTAATTAACATACTTTAAAAAATACCCAGACTGCAGCAGTGCTAGGTAGAGCTGTCAGAATAAGCACTAAACTTATGCTCTTGCCAGTTACATGAGAATTTAAGTGTCTTTTCAGCACTGCAATTCAGTATGAAAAGGATATTGCTATGGCAACCCTGGCTGCTCGTGACATGTGTGCCACTGTGTCAGAGCAACACACAGCGATTCCAGACGCTCTCCCAGCCGCACTGAGGATGGACAAACAGCAGCTCAGGACGGTGTTTCAGCTCATGGATTAGCAAATTATAAGCACCCCAAAGATTGTTGTCTTAGCCACAGAAAAGTGTGTGCAATTAAACAGACACGCTCAGGGAAGGCTTAGAGATGGACGTGATGACTGTAGCTTGAGGAAGGTTTTGGTTTTGTTTGGGAGCAAGTGAAATCAACACAGCGTAAACACTGTGCTGCGCTTGTTGAGGACTCTTTTGGCAGGTCCTTCATGTAGGGATCGATCTCTAAAGGGAAAGATTTGGGTTACAGCTTCTGTAAGGAACAGGGCGGCATCACTGAGAGCTGTTGGCTTTAACCATTGATAACCATTGGCTTTAACTTTGAAGGCATATCCCGATTTTCCGCTGTCGGAGAAGATGACAGAGGGAACAAGAGGCATGTGGCATGCTGAAATACTTTGAAGTCCACAGAGAAATGAATTCCAGCAACAGCTGCTGAAAAAACATTTCTTACCTGTCAGGTCCAAAGCTATACCACAGGGTCAGCCATGAAGCAAACCACAGGTGAGCAGTTCCCAGACAAGACAAATGCATTGTGGTGGTGACAGTGGCCATGACAGGCTATGCCACACAAGGACTTCATTAGGATCTGACCCTCTTGACAAGTCTACCACTGAGAACTAATTTCTAATAATTAGAAACAGCATCAACAGTAATTTAGAGAATTAAACAGGGTGGGCAACTGGGAAAAACTGGCTTTGTAAGGGAGAATTTGGTCCTCACGCTGTTGGAGGTCAGGTAGGTTAAAAGAGAGCTGACAAAAAGAAAACAATTATATTCATGTTTGACAAGTACCCACAAATATACCAGTTACTGTTAGCAGACACAGGACAAGAGTCTCCTGTAAGCAGAAGTGTGGGAGGTGGTAGGAGACCCAGCTACCTGCCCCTGCTCCCAGGTAAGCTAGAGCTGAGTATCTGGGTAACATCTGGTGATCTGAATATATTTCATACAGACTGTTCAGTGGTTACTGGGAGCTCATATGCTGCATACAGTGCAATTTTGTAAAAGAAAATATATATATATCATCTTTTTAAGCTGGGGCTAAGTCAGTGGGTTGTTTTTTTTTTTTTTTGGTCCTTTACCTGTAAGAAATAGGATAGCAAGCAAGCAAATCAAGATAGAAAGCATACCCAAGGATGCTACTCTGCATGGCTAAAGTCTGACAGACTTGGATGAGCAAAGTACCTACTGACAAACCAACCCCACACTGCACCTTTCTGCCTCTGCAGAAGACCAAAACATCTCCTGGGATGGCCAGAGGACTGTGATGGCCATCTGAGGTCCAGTGCTGGCTTTGCCCGAGATGACACACTGCTTTGCAGGGTGCTTGGTACAAGAAGACTCTCCCTCCATTGTGCTCACGTGCACAGAGCAAGCAGTGCTCCAAAGGGCTGTCATTGCACAAAAGCAAGAGGTGCACAGTCCCAAGTCAGACTTACTTATAGCTGAGAGGATAGAAGCAGTAGGAGGAATACATTAAGATCACTAAGAATGAAGTTCCCTATTTTATCCACCCGTGTAATAAATTATTTAGTTTCTGTTTTATGGATGACTATTTGAAAGAAGAAAAACCAACTCTTTAAAATGAGGATCTGATGAAGTATCTTTTTTTTCTTGGCTCTGAATCATGCTTACATTCCACAGATGAAGATGTACAGAACCTGCTGGGTTTCAATCTATTATTTTACTGTACTGTGATCTCACAGTGCAATTACATTTCCCTGACATGACTTAAAATCTATTACTACCCCAGGAATTAAATACAGAAAAAGAAAAGGCTCACAACATTTTCATCTCTACCTGTTGTCAGTTGTTATCAGGACTGGATCTTGCTTTTCTCTAGTTGAAGAAGGATGTTTTAGGTAGCTCTGGGAACTGTCGAAGCTTCACCAAGAGCAAGATGGACAGAAAATCTGACAGCATTTTAATTGGAAGAGTACCCCGCTCCTACCCCTCCAGAGGCAAAAGTCTGGAAAACTGCCTCAATTTGGCATCTTCACTAGGAAAGAATTTCAGCCCTAGACGCAAGGAGAGGAGGGAGAAAGCAGAAATAGGAAATCCTCTGGATCTAAAGATCAGCACTTGACAGTTTGTTGATGAAAATAACATAGGGTTTTTATTTTCTGTCAAGACCCAAGTTTTCTTTGTAGCCTCGAGGAGCACTAAATGAAATTTGCCATTTTCCTACCAATTATTTTCTATAGCTGTTCATGGCCAGCCTTTGCCAGCATCATGAATAAGCAGCTTCAAACACTGCTGTTTTCATAAAGCTTTATGCGAGATCCATACTACAACTTTCCTTTAACAGCTGGTCTTCTGTCTTCATCAGCCAACAAGTAGACATTTGACCATCCCATTTGAAGCTGTTGAGCTTGCTCTACTAGCTACCCCTCTGGTCTTGCCAGCAGTCAGACATGTCTTACCTCCTTTGTGAGCTGTCCCTCTAAACCCAAGCCCCTAGGGTTGCCAGTTGACATCAGCCTTCAAATACATGCTTCTGTATCCACATTGCACCAACCCAAGAACAGCATTACATTGACTGCCATTCTCTTTCAGAGGAGCCAAAGTTATTTCAGCTTCATGCAGCAGCTATTATTCTCTTAGATTTTAACTGGGCTGGGGGATAGAAGAGAGATGAAGTTCCTTGTGGACTCCAGGTTAAATCAGAAGTAACTCATCAGAGTTATTTGGCTTAAACTGCAATAAGCCCAGAGTCCAGCCTGTTGCCATTTAATCCATACTAGGATCGAAGTAATCAATGCCTCCTGATTGATCTCTAGATAGTTACTCACTAATACATGCATCTCCTTTTCATTATAATTTCATCTCTCACTGTTTTCAAGCCATTTACTGTTCATTACTGAAGTGACCATTTTTCGCTTGTTAAAAAAAA